GCGCTAAAATTATTATTTATATCTATACTTGAGAAAGATACTTGTTATATAAAAAGGATATAAATATAGTTATAAATATATTTTTATACAAAAGCATTATTTTTTGTAGAAGAGAGTGATGCAGATGTGGAAGATAATTTAGAAGTAGAAGGTATTCTTCCAGTAACTGACAGCTCTGTTACGTCAAAGGAAAGTCCTACTAGTCCTACTCCTACTTTAACAAATGGTAAAATTATAGAAGATATTCAAGTACCAACATCGAACCTTAATTTAATGGAGTCTGTTAATCATAATGAACAAGAAGAAACTACTTGGAATCAACGGTATTATTAATACTTATTAACGTTTAAATATGCATTTTTCGTATTTGAATGATTATAATAATGATTTTTTGCGTTGCAACAATAGTAAGAAATAATATTTTTTCATCATATTGTATAGTGTGTCCGTAAAGTTATGGTGCAGTTTCAGACTGATAAAGCAGGTGCCAAATGAAAGAGCAACTCAAAGTTTTCAATTATGTGTTTATTGAAGTTTGATGTGGACACTCTTAGTGACTTTATAAACATCTGTAGGGGAGATTCCAATTTCTGCCATATACAATGATGGAGGTGAGGAATGACAGATGAGATAGCTTCTCCGAATTGCTGCTTCAAGTGGTTAATGTTTTTAATAGGTACACTATACAAGTTTTGCTTGACATATTTCTACAAGTAAAAAGTCCGGAAGTGTGAGGTCTTAAGAGTGTGGTGGTTATAACTACCATCCACCCCTTTTGATCCATCTCCACGGAAACGTTTCATTTAGGAATTTCATTAAGAATGTCAGTAAAATGACGGGAGTATCATTTTGTTAGGAGATAACATTAATGTTGACAATTTGATGTATTGCAAGGTGTACTAACATGTTATGGTAGTTATGCCATGTTTATAGTAGGCTCTGTGAAATAAGGGATAATCACTTGATCTTATTTTATGCAAAGGCAAAAAAGTAAACACTCAGAGTAAAATGTTTCGAAGTTGCTTTTTCATTTGATACCAGTTTCGTCTTTCTATTGTTTCGTTCCAGTGCTACGACTCTTTCAAACTGCGCAATAACCATAAGGACACACTATATTATAACATTATGATTGATTTGAAAGTATCATTATAAACACACAGCTAAACATTCTGTTAAGTATAGTACGTTATCCGTCCTCACCTTGCAATCGCGGAGTTTAAATGATTTATAGATTTAGACTTATAAAATATAAATTACGAATAAATATATATATATATGATATATGAATATATGATATGTGTGATATGTATATATAGAGATTTTTTTCTTTTCTAATAATAATAGGAAAATAAGGAGAAAAGAAGAAGAGTGTTTAAATGACGTTAGTAATGGAATTGACAATATCACTTCTGGAATTTCAAAAATAGGCATTGATGGTAGCCTTCAACAATCACCTACTAGATATCCAATGAAAGAAGGAGAATGTTCAATACGATCGTGTTTGAATCAGTTTACAGCTTTAGAATTGATGAGTGGTAGCAACAAAGTTAGTTGTGAAGCTTGTACTGCCAGAGAAAAGAAGGTATATACAGAATGGGCCATATAAAGTATTACAAATTGTTTTCTTCTAAATTGCAATATAGACTTTTATTTGTTTTATATTAAATGGGACT